AAGACGTACCACCTCACAAGACGTACCACCTCACAAGACGTACCACCTCACAAGACGTACCACCTCACAAGACGTACCACCTCACAAGACTCACAAGAAGGACGGTGATGGTGCCCTGTAGAGAGGACGGCCTCACAAGCCACGTGACGGGCCTCACACTGCGCAGCACCAGCGTCAGGTTCCTCACAACCCACTCCTCTCTCGGTCCCCTTCTCATACGGCCCGGTGGCCCCGTGTCCTTATTATCCTTAACGATTTTAGCATCCTTAATGTCCTTAGTATCCTTAACATCCTTAGTATCCTTAGGAATATTTTCGGACGTAGCAGCCCCAGGCCACGCTGAAGCGCCCCCACCAAACGAGAAATCAGCGGATGTGGCTGCTGGGTTCCCCACTGGGGGCCGGTCCGAGGAAAGCTTCCCCAGTGGGGGCCGGTCCGAGGAAAGCTTCCCCAGTGGGGGGCGGTCGGGGGGCGGCGCCCCCCCTAGGGAGCGGGAAGGCTTGCCGTGGACCTCCAGCAGCAGGGAGCCGTTGCTGTTGCCGCTGCCTTGTACGTCTATGATGTGGATGTCCCTGCGGGTACACCGTTGTTTGAATTTCAACCGAAAATTTGAAATTTTGAGATTAGTAGTACAAACATAAGGTGGTATAAAAATAACTTAGTACAAACATAAAGTGGTATTGTGGACACAGATTTAAATCTAAGCTTGAATTACAAGAAAATTTTTTGACGATCAAGCTTCAGTTTCCAGCTATAAATATAAACTACCGGATTTGAAAGGACGTTGAAACTATTCTCGTAATTCAAGCTTTGATTTCAATCTGTATTCATAATACCCTAAGTTACTGTAATATTAGATGGCACAATTTTCTTGTTCAAACACGTAAGATTAGTGACCAGAGAATGCATTGTATTGAAGTTTTCAGGGAGTCTAAAAATTCTTCAGATGGCATTAATAGATCTGAATATATTACCTATATACGCTATGTGTGTACTAACGTCTTTTCAAAATTTTAAATTAAAGTGTTTAAAAACTCTTACCATACTTTACAATGAATCAGTTTCAATCGAAACGTCATAAATTATATAAAATTCCCCTTGGAAACCTTATGTTCGACTATTCAATTCCTATCAAAAGCCTAATTCGCCGAATAGAGAAAACACTAAAAAATTATCAATAAGAAATACCCTCTGGTCTTCAATAAAACCTGCACTGAAGAACAACTTCTGCCTAATTACTTCAATAGACAGTATTGTAGACATTACCGCTACAAGATATGGTTCACATAGACAGTATTGTAAACATTCACGCTACTCGATGTGGTTCACATAGACAGTATTAAATATTAAATATTTATATTCTAATGATATTAACTGACTGCGCGTAGCTGCCGATGATGTGATGATGATAGCAGCCTGACAGATGCTGACGAGCCTGACGCATGCACACGACGCCAGCGACGCCTGACGACGTAACGTCCCGCCAGCCCAGCGACGTCGGACACGGCGGCAGCGACGCCACGTCTGACGAGGAACGTTTAACGTCTCTAATGCGTCTTGTATGGGCAAAAGTTAACGTCTCTAATGCGTCTTGTATGGGCAAAAGACAAAAGTTAACGTCTCTAATACGTCTTGTATGGGCAAAAGTTAACGTCTCTAATACGTCTTGTACGGGCAAAAGTTAACTCTTTAATGGGCTAAATTTATATATATAGCGAGTCTTTCATAGGCAAAATTTAGGTCTCTGATGCGTATTTGATAATTAATGTTGGATAAAAAGGTTTGATAATAAAGTTTAACTAAAAGTTCGAAAAAAATGCTAGATGAAAAAGGATGATAATACACTTTTTAATAAATTTGGATAATAAAGTTCCTTAAAAAATATTGATAATAAGATTAGATCAAAAAGTACGATAATATATTTGTATAATATAGCAAGATAAAAAGTTTAAGCAAAAGTTCTGTAATAAAGTTAGACATTGATGAGTAACCTGGCATGGCGTTGGCGTCTAGAGCGATGTAGGTGGCGAGACTAGTGCTGATGTAGGTGAGGGGGGCGGTGAAGAGGGAGGAGGTGAAGAGCAGCAGGTCCTGGCGTGAAGGCGCCCCCGTCAGGTTGAAGGGCATGAAGAGAACCTGAAGAGCGTCCTGTGAAGCGCCCCCTTCAGGAGGAACGATGCGCACCAACGAAGGGTCTCGGGTCTGTGTGAGTCAAGGTGAGTGTATTTGTATGAGTAAAATTGAGTACATTTTTATGGGTAAAATTGAGTATATTGTTGAGTGGTATGATTAAGAAGGGTCTACTCTCCCCCCAAAAAAATTTGCTAGCTAACAGATGCTTCTGTATAATCATACACATATTCAAAACACTAATTTAGAAAGTAAACCAACCAAAAACAAATTTAAACTTTTATCAACATAAAAAACTAAATGGAAGAACAAGCTTCACGGAGCAGCCAATAAAGCACCGAGTTGTGCTAAACTAAATGCAGCCATGTACAATATGGTCTGCACTGCACGCTGCACTATACGCTGCACTGTACGGTAAATAAGACGGTTCTTAATACGGTTACGATGTATAATACGGCGCTGTGCGATATAGAATACACGGGACATAAAATATTAATATTATTACAATTAATATTAATATTATAACCATTATTATTATTGATATTACCAATATTATTATTATTATTACCATTATTATAAATATTAATACCTTTATTATTAATATTATTACCAATATTAACAAAAATACACGGGGCACCCACCAGCAGCAGCAGGTTGACGGCGCTGGCAGGGGGGGTCGTGAGGGTCACGTAGAAGCTCTGCACGTCACTCACGCCGTGGATGACGAGCGCCACGGTGCCTGCCTTCGTCAGCTGCACGTCCAGCGTGATGCCGTCCACGGGGTGAGAGGTGGTGGGTGTTGGCGGGGGCGACGGGGGCGATACCGCCCCCCCGCCACGGTGGTCAACCACCAACACCTGTCGCACCTCCCGGTACAGCGAGGGCGCGTCCACGGGCGACGATCCTGAATATCATTTATTATATCATCATTAATTATATATCATTATTAATTACACAGCATTTATTCGTCGGCAAAATGAATTATTAAATTACAAATTACTGAGAGTACATGTAATGATAGCCTTACTCGTTCATTATTCAAAAGTAAGATTCACTCAAGCATCTATAGCAGAAATTACGAGAGTACGAATTTTCGTCAGAAGAGAGAGTATTTTCGTCAGAATATCATGAGCAGAATATTATGATCAGAATATTATGACAAGAATATTATGACCAGAATATCATGATCATTCCAACATTAAGTTACGAAGCTACAGTAGCACACGCTGCGTGTGTTCCAGGATGCGTAATGCGAGCCTGAGAAGCAGCGTACAGACCACAAGAAGGCTTTATTGTTGCCTATTAATTGATAATTGATATTAAATTAATAAAACTAAATATTGATATTAAAACGTACATTATCCTACTTTGATCCTCTCAATGTAATTATACTAACTGTTAAAAGTTGTTTTGATCATATGGAGAAATAGAGTATAAATAAAGAAATGGGAACACATGGTGAGTGAGTCGATGGTCGATGTACCTCAACATTTATTAATTAAATAGATAATAATTAAAAATAATTCATAATAATATTAATTCACTGATATAGATTGAAGGTTTTTTTCAGCGTTTAGCAAATCCATCACGGAAAAAAATTATGACATTATAGTAATTTTATTCCATAGAAGCATGTGTAAAAACGATTAATATCTTTAATATAAATTAATATATCTTTAATATAAATTAAAATATCATTTTTTTAGCCTAATATAAATCTTTCATTGAAAAATTAAAAATAAATGAAAAATTCGCATTCAAATTCGGAAATTGAAACGGGAAGTAATCATATACTCAAACAAATGAAGGACGAATTCTCCAAATAGTGACACACTTTCTGCAAATGACACCGACACGCCATTTTAATGGGTCATCGGATGACCCACACAAGAAGTACAATAATGCATCAATATTTATAACAAGTCAAAGTCCTCATTTCACTCAAAAAAATGAGCAAGATTTTGTCCAAATAGAGATCCACTTTATGTCCTAATGTGGGTCATGTGAGTGTATGACACACGATACCTGGTGGGGGGGTGGCGCGGCAGAGCAGGCAGGGGGCGGGGGCCTCCAGGAGGGGGGTGAAGTAGGGGGTCTCGAGGGGGTCCTCGACCACACAGAGCTCTGTGTGGGTCAACAGTTTAATACACTCGTACAAATGAAGGATAATTTGTCTAAATAACAGTGCTACTTTTGTGGGTCATCCTGACACATTTTGGGGCGTATCAGTGCTACGTCAGCTTTCTGCTCGTGCTGCGGGTAAGAAAGTGTGTCACAATTTAGACAAAATGTCCCATTAGTTTTCTGACTGTTGGGCGTCAATTTATTGACAGATATTAAGTGAAAAAGATTAGCGTACACTGGGAAAAATTGATGCGTCATGTTGTCAATATAGTGGAACAATTACTGCGTGGGGGTGCGTGGGGGTGCGTGG